CCGGGTTGATTCTTTCAGGCTTGAATGGGGAGTAAGAGAGAGAGAGAAAATTAAATTGATATATACCGATTCCCTGAAAATAAGACCTCCCCAGATAATAAGCCCAATTGGGCTTTTGAGCGCATGTGCAAAAATAAGCACTCCCCGAAAATACTGCAATGCAGCAGCAGCCATGAGGTGACCACACTCGCCACCTCCTGCACCTCAAAAATAATAAGAACTCCCCGAAAGTAAAGCCAAGTGCTTATTTCTGGGGTAAAAAGAAAATAAGATCCTGTCTTATTTTCAGAGAAACACGGTAGTTAGTTTTAAGTGTTTACTCAGGGAATGGAATAATGTTCTACTACTGCTATGACAAACGTAACACATTCACAGGCCAAACTGTTATTAAATCAACTTAAACTGGGTCTGGGTCTATACAATATGCTTTGAGTCAAAGGCAAAGTAGCCAAATTGTATTACAATCTAGTATGCAACAGCACAGGACAGTATATTTACAAGAGCCAGGTTAGTTACAAACAGCAATTTGCATCCCTTTCTAGGATAGAAGTGTTGTGGTCTGCTGGTGGCCTGCAGAGCTGGCAGCAGTCAGACAGTGAGGAGCTTGGGGAGGAAAATGGGCCAGTCCTGGAGTTTTGCGAAGGAGGCAGAGTGGGGGCCAGGGCCATCTGGGAGTTATGTGCTGCCTCAAGAACCTCCGGAGCATGACACCAGCGAGGCAGAAGAACAGTGTGAGCCTGTTCCCACTGTGCGCATGCACAGAGCTTCCAAAAGGCAAGAACAATTAAGACAAAAAGGGTCTACAAATGCCTGCCTTTGCTCACCCCCCAAACATTTGCACAAATGGACACATTCATCCCTCCCCATATTACTTTTGACATAAATATTGTTTTTTCTCTTTTTCCCCTTATGCTACAATAATCAAAGTACTGGTAATAGGGGGATTCGACAGGAAGTTCTCCAGTTGCACAAACGTGGGGAATGTGAGCTCTGAAGACCCTCACATGAACCCTGTCTGACAAACTTACTCCGGTGATCCTTTTTTGGATCAGAACCCTCCTGGAGGGGGGAGGGGCAGAGTCTCATCAGACCCAGAGAGAGGCAACAGGTCGGAGATTTGCCTTATGAATCGAAGTGGGGGCGGCAGCCTGCAATATGGCTGACAAGATGCTGACTTCCTGTCTAAGTAAATGAACAGGAGGATGAGGAAGAGATGAAAGACTGGTAAGAAAATTTATCTAACCCACAGCCATAAATCAAACCTGGTAAAGGCAAAGAAATCTTGAGAGCATAAATAATATTGATGGTCAGANAAGTTCACTCAGACACACATGGCTTAGCTCAGGAAGAGGGCAGTGGAAGTAAAGCCAGTTTGCGTAAAGCAAACAGTAAAAAATCTTACTGTACCTTGACCATTTCCTTTGAGGACTTCTGACTGTTTACAAAACAATGAAGCTTTTATAGAAAGCTTCAAGGTGATTCTTTAATAGTCATGGATGAATGTCCACTAAAAACCCACTTCCAGCTTAACCCCCCCCCCCTCAAAAAAACAGATCGGAAAAAATGTCTTCCTTTTTCTTTTTTTAAAATTATTTGTATTTATTTATACACAAAATCCTTAAACAATCAGAACTCAGGAAACTAAACTTGCAAAGATTGGGTATAATGTGTCACCTTCCAAGATTAACAGGATAATATAAGTAAGACCTACTATTGGTTGCAATCTTATTGTGGCCACCTCATTATTTACAGATTTCACAAAGTAATTTTATTCTAAACTAAGGATATATTTTGTCTAGGCTCCAAGAATATAGATTAAAAAAAATACAAAATAACTTTATGAGAGTAAAAGTCTCTACAGAAAATAATTACAATAAATCCAACAGGCCTAAACAGAAACCAACACAAGACATAACAATAATAACAAATCGACCCACAACTCTAGGGGGCAATGTGTTAATCAGGATTTCAGAAGAAGTCCAAGATAGAGAGCCAGCTCATCATTTTAGCACAATAATTTAAGCCTACTTTCTCTTTTGCCAATGCTTTGCCTTCTAAGTGGGAAATTAAGAATATATATAACTACTTTTGATATAAGATACCAACTTCTATTTCCTTCTATGTATGCATCTTCTACTTCCCTTTGTTGTTCTTTCTCCTATTGTTTTAACCTCATTCTCACTCCATCTTAACTTTTGTAAACCTTTCTCTGTTTTTTGTGTTTCCCACCTCAATAGTTTTTGGGGTAATATTTCCTTTTTCCTAAATTCAGATCCACTAAATTTAACCGTCACTATTTACAGGCAATGATCACAGGCCACAGCGATTAGGATTCACATGTTCTGCGTGGTTACATCTTTCCCATTAATTCCAGGCTGATCCAATCTGAACTCTCTACTACTGATTCTTGCTGGGGACCACTTTATCTTTGGCAAACAAGAAAATGAACAGAAGACTGTGCATGACACCCAAACTTTCAAGGATATGGAAACCTGCTATGCTAAAACAGTTTTGAAACACTTAAGAGGTTTGAGATTTTTCATTTCACAACATTCATCTGTTTTTCCTTTGCTTATTTTGTTTGGCACTGTTTATTACAAGGTTAGGAGTAATTCAGAATGAACACTCAGTATTTAATACTTTAGCGTTGCTATTGTTTTTATGTAATATGGGTTATTGCCCCGTGCAAGCTTTGTTTTATATTCTGGGATTTCTAGTTTATGAGCAAGTGTCAACATTTATTTTGATTTTATTTATTTATATTTCATGTTTCTAGACTGCTCATCTCCCTTAAGGTTAGAATAGAAAATGATGCGTTCATTAGAAATATCTGCCAGCTATACTTCCAATGAACATATTTAATAATAAACATATCAATGGAGGGAAAGATAAAGAGGTTGGAATTCTTTCCAACATCTTTGCTAGAGGCAGTCATAGGAGGTGTCTGTATTTTGTTCAGTATAATAAAGTACAGGTAGTCCCCAACCTAAAACTATTTTTTTAATGACTGTTTAAAGTTACGTTTCTGAAAAAAGTGACCTATGACAATTTTCACATTTACAACCATTACAGCAGCCCATGGTCACATTATCAAAAAAAACTAGATGCTTGGCAACTGGCATGGATTTATGACTGTTGCAATGTCCCAGGGTCATGTGATCACCTTCTGCGACCTTCTGATTAAGCAAAGTCAATGGGGAAGCCAAATTCACTTCACAGCTGTGTCAAGAAAGGTTGCAAGATGGCGCAAAATTAACTTAACAAACTGTCTTGCTCAGCCACGGAAAGTTTGGGCTCAGTTATGTTGTAAGTCGAGGACCACTCGTGTTTTCTCTCTCTTTCTGTGTTTGAGGATAGCTGTGTATCTTTCCTTGGGTTGGGTCTGATAGGTTGCAAGTGACACTGTGTCACCTAAAAAGTGGGGACAGAAATAAGCAGTCAGCAGAATTCCAAAATGTTACATAACTCCATTAGGAATTGTTTTTCGCATCCCCTGGACAAGTTTGGCCAGTTTCAACCAAAACCTTTCCTTTGTTGGCTTCCCCTTACAAATCTGGTTGCATTCTGTTCTGTTTTTAGATAGTTATTGTGCTTATGGACAGGCAGAGTCTTTAGCTTATTTGGTTACTAACTCTGGGTTGGAAAGAATAAAAAGAGCAGGACACTTTTGTAGAAAGAGCTTTTTACAAGGCATAATAATGATACAGCTGCAGCCGGACATCTGGAAGAAAGCATCCTTCATGATTCTGGGAGAAACTCAGTCCAATGGGATGGACAGGTCTGCAGCACTGTGAGTTAGGTGCCAATACATCTGGAGGTCTGAGCAGAACTGCAAAATCAATTAGCCCACCCACCTTTCTGCTGTTTTTAAAAGAGAAAACTGTGAAGACCAGAGACAGATATGTGGGTGCCTAATTGTTCTCATTCAAGAATAATATTCCACACATCACATAATGTAAAGCTAATGCTTTAAGAACACAAGTTAACAGATCTGTTCCCAACACTAAGAACATTACAGTTTACAGCTCGAGACATGTAAAGGACAGAAAAAGAGGAAGGGGACACAACAGAAATGTTGGCATGGTTGTTATAACTAGTTGTGTGCAATAAACGTTACTTTGACCCTCGGAACAAAAAATAATAAATAAGATACTGTGGTGCGCAGTGATGGACAGACTGACTCTAGAACTCAAAGACTGGGGTGAGACAGAATATCACAAAATCTGGGACAAATGGTACCAATGGTTAGAAATGAGGGGAAAAGGCCGGGACAGAAAAACATAGACAAGTTAAGAATTGAAAAATATGGTATCAAGAATGTGTGATAGGTAGGAATTGAATATGTATTTGTACAATTAGTAATTATATAAAAGAAAGGATCAACTGACTGACTACATACACCTATGTAATAGATATAAAATGTAATTGTTGTAAGATCCAATCACTATATGGAAATGTTTATGCCAGAAATGTTGCACTATGTCCAATGTTTTTAATGTTTATCTAATAAAAAACTTTTTATTACAAAAGAAAAAAAGTTACTTTGAGTAGCAGAGACCATTAGTGTTGTGCCCATTTTCATCCATGCTTCATTTTCAAAGGATAAGCATTGTAGGACTTAAAAACAAGAACATGTATAACTTGATATTCAAATTACATGTTTACTACCTTCCTGAACAACTACTGCACTCCTGTTCCAATATTTGTATTAAAAGACTGATTGGGGTAAAGTTAGAAAGCAATTCATAAGCAACTGGGTGTTTTTTTCCCTTGCCAATTTCTCTTTTTGTGAGAAATGACACATTTTAGAGACAATCTAGGCATCCTCTCTCATTTGGGGATTGCAGTGCATTTTGGAAGCAACTGCCTGATGTTAAGCTGCATTTATCTCTGGTCAGCATGTCAGCGTACACCTGTATGCCCCCAGTAACATGTGAGCAAATTCAAAGGTTAATGAAGCAGTATCTGACTTCTCCATGATTCAGGGAGAATGTTCTTACCACTGTGAGGTAAAATCGACAAATCCAGCTGAAAACGTGTCTACAGGGAGCTGTGGTGATGGTTCTTCCACTACCTGTTTGAGCTGCTGGAACGGCGTCCCCCAGGAGTCATACGGAAACCGCAAGATTGCTAATTCAATCTAGGTCCAAAAACAAAAGACAGGGAGACATCAAGACATCTTCCGGAGACACTTCTCCCCCTCCCTCTCCCCCATGCCTGCCCAAAGAAAAATATGAAAAGGCTACTGCTAAAGAGGACCCAAACTCAATCCAATGTTGTTGCACGCTGCCACCTGCAGGCTGAGAGCTGAAATTACAACTTCATTTGGATTTTATTTTTGTGATTTCTGCGCCAGAGGCTGTGCTTTTCTCCCACCCCCCTCCCTCTTCCATTTTTCCTTGGAAACACTGGGCTCATTTGGTGCCTCTGAGGCACAGCCTGTGCAAGTCTCTGGAGACAGCATGTCTCTGGGAATATTTCAAAGCTGCAGCTTTGAAATATGTGAGGCGAGTTCTTCTGGTTTGTGCCACGTACCCACAGCTTCTCTAGAAGACACGAGGGTGCCAGGGGAGAGTATGCTTTCTTCTCTTTGCCCAGCCCACGAGGGCTGTTGCAACAAAAGGGGACTAATCGTTCCCAAGAGAATTATTCTGACTTGCTACCAGGAACCTTAATGTTCACCCCAAATGCGTATTTCTCTCCTGCGGGCATGGTGCCAATGGAACGAGCTTTGTGATGGATGGTTGCTATAGGGCTTTTTTCCCCCCCGTTTGCAGACACGCAACCCACGTATGCTGCTGCCTGGTTTTTTAATATTCATCACAAGCAAATGCAGAACTATGGCTGAGGACGATAGCTGGACCTGCTAAGATTCTTCTATTTCTGAAGAAAGTATAAAAAGCCCATTCTAAATTTAAATGGATAAACTCTTTTGCCCATCACATGGACCAATTGGGGAGTTGTTTATAAATTATGCTGTTATAGCTAACGTAGTGCTGGGTAAATTCTGACTCTGAAAGGGTTTGCTTCCCCTCCCCCCCCCCACCCACCCCCCCCCACCAGGCTTCCCTG